TGATGATTTATTTATTGCCTGATAAAAATAATAAAATGTATTTATAAATAATAAATAATATAAACAACAACAAAATTGAACTAATATTACTTAAAAAGATTCTTTAATAGTTTTATTGATACTGACAATAATCTTATCAATATCTTTATCACAAAATAAATCTAATTTTGCAATTTTCATTTTTTTTGAAGTTTTTGTTTGTGAAGCATCTGAAATTGTTTGATTATTGGCTTCAATATCTGTTAATTATAATATATTTTTAGATGTTCATTCACACAAGTTCAAAAAAAAACTAAAATAAAAACCTTTCAAATTATTTTATTCATTGATCTAAAAGATATTAATTATATAAGTATATTTATACAATCATAATAATTTACAACCAATATATTTTAGGTTTTGGGCATTTTAAATTATTAAAATCAAAAGAGCATTTGCCACTAGTTTTATTATTATTGTTGTTGTTGGTGTTTTCATTATCCATTGATAAAAGATGACAAATATTTGACAAAAGAGAATTAATTGATTATTAGAATGTGAGAATGTGTGTATAGCTGCTCGGAATGTTTAGTGAGACTAGGTTATTTTTATATGAGAGTAATGTAACAACCTAACAAGTAATATGTAACTCGGTTTGTTTAATAAAAAATCTTTAAAAAAGAGTTTTTCTTATTCTGATTATAAATTTATTTTTAAATACTTACAGAATAAAAATTGTCAGAAATTGTAGTCTTTAAGTTGATGTACAGCACAAAATATACCGGATATGACATGGCCAAAATTAGCCTAATTCTACCGGAATTAAGATTTTTACCCGTATACGTTAAAGTTCCCTCAAAAAAGTGGGTTTCTCACTGCATTAAAGATAAAACTTGATTGCTGATTCTAATGAATTAACCTTGAAACAAATCTGATCAGAATAGATCGGCGTACCATTAGCTTGTTTGAGATTCGTGTTAATTTCGTCTTTGATGTGTAGCGTAGTAATTACCTTATTAGTTAACAATGTTGTAAGAAAAGCAAAAGACAGTGACAGAGTATAATTAAGTTAGTTAAATTCCATAATTCCATAATTAAACTTTCCGATTTACTGATTGAAAATTAATTCGGTTCATAAAAAGCATTTATCTAGATTTATCTTCCCATAATTTCTTATAAATTCAAAAAAAATTTTCTATAAATTTAAATATTATTTCGAATATTAATCTCAGAGAAAGCATATATATCATTTTTTTTTTTTTACCTTTTACTACTTATATAGTATCTTATTGTAATTTATTGTAATGTATTTAATTACAATAAGATGGTTTTTTTTTTTACTTTAAAAGTTTCTCTTGATTAAAAAAAAAACGCCTGTCCAATATATATTGTAAATCGACAATGTCATCACATTAGATAGTCACTCATCGCCATTTATAATACATTGTTTGATTAATTAACATTGAAAGGTTAAATGGATGTCATCAATTAAGGGTAAGTAACGATTATGAATTACAACCTTTAGCAGTTGTAATATTATAAACGTAAGCTGTAAATTGGCTGTAAATACTACATGTTAGCTAAAAAATGGTAATTCTGATTTACAACCATTATATTTTTGGACTTACAACTATTTACGGAGACCAACACTATCATCAATATTTAATAACAGTTTAGGAAACAACAATGATGATGGTAGTTCGGATGATCAAAATGATGATTAATCTGACCCTGGATGGCGTTCTGGATGATTGGGACGATGATGAATCGCAGCAGATCACCCCTGCTGGTCTATGCCTAAAAAGAGAGAGATAGGGGTGTATCATATTGTGGATTACTTATAAACTTCATATAAGATGAAATATGTTAGGATTATCAGGTCTCAAAAAAGAGACGAACACATCCTCTACCTTCCATCAATCCCATCAGTATCATTTTCAACATGATAAAGAAATACACTTTTCCTTTCCAGCGAAAGTAACTCCTGGAGAAATAAGTTTCATAAGCAAAAGGCATGGGGAACTAACAAAAAAGCAACTCAAATACAAATAATACAATAATAAAAAATGGGTGTACAATTTTGTACAATTGTTATACATACCCTTTTATTGTTTTGATAGACTATACCACGTTTCCTAATAGTCGGCCGTGATTTTCCTTATTGATATGATGTTTATCTAAAAAAGTCTATCAGTAGTTTAAAATTGTATACGGGGCGTTAGTCTCCATGGTATAAACCAGTTATTTCACGGATCAGCCTCGATCTCATTATCATTACGGCTCCGCCTTGATGATCAATGATATCTAAGGCTTCCCGTGAAATTCATTGTCTAAATGATAAATTTTTTCTGTAATTAAATTAATATATATGTAGAATTGAAATTATTTAAAAAAAAATTTTTTTGATCTGCAAATTAAAAATACTGATCCATTTTTAATTAATTTTATATAATGCAGTTTGTATATACGCATCGCGAATTTAACCGAATTAAGTGATATTTGGTTTAACTAAATTGTGAGAACCACGTGAATTTATTATTATTTTTTATTATTATTATTATAAATCAATCAGACTTTACCAATTCTTTCCTCGTTTGGAGCCCGTATTTGAACATACGAAATATCGATCGACCCGATCAACAAAATAGTATTTTTTATCAAATGCTAAAATGCATTCTTTTGATTACGCAATAAAGTAAACAAAAGTACAAATAAAAAATTTTTTCAAAACAAAATTTAAATAATATGTATACAAAAGAACCAATTTTAAACGGGCTTTTCCTTTCATCAAAGAATCACAAGGAATCATTTATGGATAATCCGTATAATTTTGGTTTCACTATATGATAAGGTTTAATTGTTGGTTTGTGAAATCAAAAAAAATTATCATTGTTCATTTTATTTTATTTGGGTCTGGAAGCTACCGAACATATTTTTATAGCCATTATACTTAAAAAAGAAAATTACAAATTAAAATATGCATGTTATAAACTTGTGTGTCATTATTCATTTAAAGATCATCAAGGATATTACAAAATGCAGTGCAATTTAAGAATTGCATAAAAAAAATATAAAATGAGAGATTTATTTGAATAATTCTTACTTATATATATATGCATACATATATATATATATATATAGACCTAACTTTTTCCGTAAAAAAAAAAAAGATAAATTTATAATTCGGAGGAACAGGGGAAAATTATATTATTATAATATAATATGAAATGTAACATTTTTTTTTTAAAAAAACGGTTTGAATTAATCAATTCGGCCTACAAAAAAAAAGCCATGAAATCCATACTTTCCATAAATTCTAACAAAATGATGCAACCTTACATTATTTATTAATAATAGTAAATTATTCCTTTGTCGACCAAATATAATAATAATGGTCAATGGATTTTAAAAATCCAATTATTTTTTATTTTTAAATAGAATAATGACTAAATATAGAACAATTACTTTTTTATTTTATTACCAGGTTATTGTAAAATTGTGTAAATAATTCCAATGCGGAGTCTCTAACGGTTTTGAAACTGATTTGAATGGAAAAAGGAAAAGATTTCCAATCAAATATTTTGTTCGTACGACAAAAAAATCAAACATCTTTTTTTGGGATTAATCTTATTCAAGCCAAGATTTCCAAATGTTTTTTTTAAAAAAAGAAAGAAATTTCTTTTAATAAAAAAAATTTGAAATTCTTTACGTAATTGTAAAGTTTTGATTTTAGTTAAAATCTTTCACCTGAATGGAAGGTTTTTTTAAAAGAAAAAGGAAATAATGACAAGGATGGTGTAACTAACTAAATAACTATTTGAAAAAATAAAAAAAATAAAAAAAAAAAATTAATTATGAATTCTTAAAAAAATGTATATTTTTGTATATAACAATAAAAAAGAGATTACGAAAGAATGCATTGAAGTATCGTCATAATGTAATCATGCAACTTATCTATGAAGTACACTAATATGTTTAGTGTGACATTCAACAAAAGAAATCCCGGCTTTAAAACTCCTATTGAAATTCGCATTGAATAAAAATGAATTTGGTAAGTGATTTGTTTGAAATATGATGATTAAGCTTAATTAATGAATGTAGATTAATTTTTAGTGGGTAAAATAAATTGTGAGAAAGAACTTTATAATATGTTGAATATAAAAGTAAATTTACATATATTTTGAGTAACAATTGGATTTGATCCGTAAGGGTGTAATGAATTTGTGGGGAAGATACATTGACTAGTAAAAAATTAGAGAATTTTCTTAGTCCGTCAAATTTTTCCGAATTATTGAAAAAAGAATTTTTTATTTCCTGCACGATGACAGAATTATTAATATATATGTATAAACTGTCAAAGCTAAAAAAAACCTTAATAATTTAATCACATCATGTAAGTATTGGTTTCACCTTTTTCCAAAATTCATTTTGATCTCCTTTTTCTTTGATTACACGAGGAATTTTTGCGCCAGGTAAATTAATACCATATACTATTAACAAGATAATATAAATATTAATTTGGTACCCGGAATAAAGTGTAACGAATATTACTATATTTGGTTAAGATATGATTTTTTATATATTTTACCAGAGAAAGACGCAATCGTCGTATTTACACTATAAAAATTTATTAAAAAAGAAAAATCCTTGGCACAAATTATGATTTTATTATTCGTACCAGGTAAATGGTAAATCACTAAAATTCCACGAGGATTTACTATATAGAAAATTCAAATAAACTGTACATAATTTATATTCATTATTTTCACTTACTTTTAATGTACATCCCGAATATTTATTACCGAATATTTATTTTATTATCATTTGGTACGTATTTACTATTACTGTAAAAAAATCTTCCATTTTTCTTTTCCTTTCAAATTTCCTGATGTCACCATAGAACTTATCCAACATTTCCTTTTTATATTTCCAAACTTGAATTTTTTTTTTTGTTACGAAATTTTATTCATGATTATTCTTTATTGGTCGATATAAAATTCCGGGCTGCATAAATTTAACAGTAAAACAAAAAAAATTTTTACACAGTTACTATATTATTTATTTTTTCTTTTATACAAAGACACTTTTTCAACAACGAAAAAAAAAAATATATATATATTTTTATTTATTTTACGATGTCAAAAAATCCAGTATTGAACACGTACAATTTTGTTAGTACGTCAAACCGTCAACTACAACTCGATAGGTAAATTTTACTCAAGTATTATCAACTTTCTTATTAAAACGTGAATTTCTCAATAAACGCGCAATTTTTTCGTTTTTCACGTAGCAATCATTATGAACTTATCATACGACAACAACCAAAACAAGCTCGGTTGTGTAGTTCAAAAGAACGAGGTATGAATCTTATAATTATACTGTAATTATTTTATTCAAGTATAATTCTTAATTAATTTGTTTAATTTATCAATTAATAAATAGATCGAAGACCAGTTGACCCACCTCCAATCATTCAATTAAAAGTAAATGGTTATGGCGATGAAGCTCAGTATGTATCTTATAATAAAAAAAGTTCTTTCAGATTGATCAATTAGCTTAAATTAAAATTTAATCAATTTGATCCTTTATTACTAGAAACTTCCTACAAAGTCCTTATTATTTTATGTGTGCAAATCTCGTACATCCTACAGATAGCGGTGAAAGTTTTACCGTTTCTTCGCGTTACCTTGCTGGTACCGTTGTCTCTTCCTTACACAAATTGAAAGACATCGATAATAAAGGTACTTTCTCATCATTAATGTTTTGTGTATATTGTACACGTATTATTTAACTCATATCTTTTTCTCTTGAATTATTTTAAATCAGATGGTGGTTTTTTTGTGTTTGGAGACATATCTGTACGTGTCGAGGGTCGTTATCGTTTAAGATTTAGTTTGTTCGAAATCATAAGGTAATTTAACAAGATATAAAATTTGTCCAAAGTTTATATTAAATGCTAAATTAAATTTTTTTTTTTTTTTTTTTTCTTCCTTACCTTTTTTTTTTCGGTACGATTTAAAAAGAGATGAGGTTGTTCATATACAATCAGTGGTATCAGATGTTTTTACGGTTTATTCACCAAAAGCATTTCCTGGAATGTCAGAGTCTACATTTTTATCTAGGTCTTTTTCAGATCAAGGTGTAAGAATAAGGATTCGTAAGGAACATCGAATTCAAATGAAACGTCCACAATCTAATAATAGACAATCTGATACTACCGAATATGATGATGATAATATAAATATAAATGATGATGGAATTACGGATATTCCTGCTAAAAGAAAGAGGAGCAAAAGTCAAATTGCACAAATTTCTACATTTAAATCTACTCCTCCATTGGAATTACTTGATAATACTTCAATGTCTTATTCACAATCACAACATTCACCGTACGCTCCTTCATCTGATTCATCTTATCCATCATATCAACAATATCATAAGTTTAGACAAGGTGGTGGATCATTATCATATCCTCCTCCATTATTAGGGTATCCACCTCATCCACCTCAACGTCAAAATTCATATTATGAGGATCATGAATACGGACCGTCATCTCGTGATGATCATACGTCATCATCGCCTTATTATTATGGTGAACAATATAAACGTCCGAGATTATCAAATTCTGAAGTGCCTCCTTATGATTATCGACAATCATCAATAGTAACACCCTTAAAAGATAATCAATTTACAACTACTAACCATCACCACCACCATTATACCACTTCTTCTCCTCCTCCCCATCCTCCTCCTCCTTCTTCTTCTTCTCTTTCACCATCTTCATATCGTACATCACGAAGATTATCTCCTTTATTAGAACATCAACCTTCTTACGTCACCTCTTCTACTAACAATTCATCATCTCATGTGTTTAATCATGATCATTCTCTTCCTAATGCTCGTCATCGCTCTTTTGATGTATTAACGTCAACAGCTTCTTCAAATACTACATCCTTGGATTCTTTTCATTATTCTGTAACATCACCATCCCCATCATCATCATCATCATCTGCTACAACACTTCAACCTGTTCAGCCTTCAGAACCTTTTTATCAATCATCTTCATCATTCACTCCAAAACCTCCTTCTAGATCCCGAACATTACCGCTTTACAGTCATAATGGCATTAATAATAATGACAATGATAATGATAACATACATCACCATAATTATCATCATGATTCTACTGCATCATTTTCATCATCTAATCAATTACCTACTCCAAAAACTTCAATTGATGTTGATGTTTTACATAGTTTACATCATAATCATAATAAAAAACAATTATATTCGTCATATCCTCCATTAACACCTCCAAATCTAAACAGTTCATCTGTAGATAGTTATAAAAGTGGTAATAATAATAGCAGTAATAATCTTACACCTAGTTTTACTCAACATTTTACCTCAAGTCCTAGACCTGGACCACTTCAATTACCTCCTAAATCACCATTATCATCAAACATGAGAACTAATTCATTACCAATAATGTCTTCTAATTCAAGTACAAGTTCCTCAAATTCTACAACATTCTTGAATAATAATGAAGGAGTATTAACTAGTTCACCATTATTATTACCTACTACTAATACTGATAATTTACCAAAATTACCACCTATAACTTCTTTAACAAGTAGAATTGATTTTATTATGAATAAGACAAAGGACAATTATTATAATGATAGTGTACCACAACAACAAGGACAACAATATTATCATCAATCTTATTCTATGGATGATAACAACCTAAATTATAATAACAATGTTTGGCATAATAATGGTGGTAGTAGTATTGATAATGGATATTAGTTTTATTTAAACTTAGTTTAAATTAACTAGTAAAGTACTAGAACAGTTAATTTAAAAAAATTGTTTATTTATTTATTTTTTTTTTAAATTATTAAAGACTTTTTTTTTGTAAATCAAAAAAAAAGAAAGAAGAAAAAAAAATTAAAGTGATTATTATATGAGTGGATAGGTAATTTACTGTAATTTTTTTTTTTGATTGTAATATTAAATGTATAGTAATAAATAGTATAGTAATTGTGATTTTTATAAAAAAAAAGAAAAAAAAAAAAAAAAAAATTTTAAAAA